CATCCGGTCACATGGGTGAAAAGCCACTCCCATCCGGTCACATGGGCAGCAAGCTTTTTGAAACCCACCACTGACAGATGCCCACCCGTACCCACACCCACCCACCACCACATTTGAATGGACTTGTGTATGAGTTCAAGAGAAATTGAAACCATCACTCATGTAACTGTTGTGTTGTTATTTTTATCCGGATCAAAGGAATTCATTTATTTCACTTATGTTGCAACAACAGTCCAAGTCTTATATATATAGTTCCTATTTTCTGATTCTAATGATAACATCACTAATATTTTACGCAAATTTCCTTGGCAGCAATCAAGACATATCACCAATAATGTATTATCACCTGTCTAATTGTTTTTATATTCTTTTATATGCTAATGTGTATAGATCACTTATTGTAATAAAGAATGCATGAATGTATACAAAAATGAATTGAATTTATCTCTACAAAGGTAAAGCATGAAATGTGTATACATGACAACAAAGAATTTTTTTTAAAAAATGCCTTCTTTACAATCCTGTTTCTTTCTAATGTCTATTAGATCGATTTTTAATGTATTCTATAATATCAGCACAGTGGCTATAGTTCTTGCTTTGTAAGCAGGTGTGCTGGTTCATAATCCGGTAAAATAATATATCATTATTATCTAAGCTTCCTAGTTTTTTTCTGTCTTTTTAAAAATTGAAACAGTGCACAATTTATATTTAGCCGAGGTTGAAAAGTTGGAAATAAAAGACAAAAAATTGTACTGGATTCGAAATGAACAAAGTTTTATTTGCAAGGCAGGAATTGCAATAATTGCACTACTGTATCACTCCAAAACATCTTTAAAAGGTATTCCAAATTATGCTGAGAAATGACTCACTCGAAGAAATATTCTGCCCTCTGCATAGTAGCCAAACAAATGCTGAAGTTAGCCAGCAATAAATTAAAGTCCGCTATTCCAGGTGAACTGGGATTTATCTAATACTAACTTTATTTAATTCAGAAACCAATTCTACTTTCTGCCATATCCGATGCTCCGGTTTCTTTTTAAGATAAGATTTTAAAACTTCAAGTTTTGTCTGATTGGCCAAACACTACTGTAAAGAATCGTCCACTTCCAATTAGATAGAAATTCTTGCGAATTCTTTTTATTTTGGACTGTTTTTGTTATTAGTTTTGCTTAGTTTTTAAAGATGATAAATTGTGATATAAATGTCTTTATAGTTATTCCAATCTACTGTGACTTAATAATCTTCTTTTAATCTTTTATAAATTGTTTATGCTCTAGAAAATTATCACCCAGCCGTCTCCCAGAAAAATGAAATATCCTAGGAAATATTGAAAAGGCAGAATATTACATTCCCGTGGATGTGAAAAGAAAGAAACATGTTTTAAAGACAGAGTAGCTCCCTGCAGCTTCCTGCCCACCACCCTTGTCAATGGGCCATTAAGATGCCCAAGGCAGTCCCTTTACATAATAAAGAGTTCTCCCCTTCAGCTCCAGGGTGATGGGATTAAGGCATGATAATATTAGCCCTTTACCCAACTCACCACATGGCATCTGAGAATTCAACCAAACCTGGATTCAAAACGCAGCCTAGAGAATTGCCCCTGCATGGCCCCNCTCTCTCTCTCTCTCTCTCTCTCTCTCTCTCAGGCCATGAAATATTTGTCATATTTGCTATATCCATTGTGTATTGGAGGTGCAATTTATTCTTTGTTGAATATCAAGTACAAAAGGTAAGCTGCTTGTACATGATTTTAAAAATCTAAGGCATAATAAGAGATACTTTACCTTTTTGGTAGTATAAATAAAAAGTGCTGAAATGTTAATAAAATGTGTATTTCCAACAGCTGTCCTGTTAGAAATCATGCTTCTTTCTCAGAATTATATGGATTCTCTCTACTCCCTTGTCTGATCAAAGCCTTCTAAATCTTTATATCAAAAATCGATAGCAAATCCTACAATTTCTCTTCTGAATTATCAAATCAGAAAATGATCTTTACGGGAATAAGCATTGATAAAATGATAAGCATAAAGCCCGCTTGTGTAACATTTGATCAATACTTGTTACAACTTTTAAAAACTTTTCTGGTTTAAAGCTAAATTCAACCAGTTTCTTAAACTGATTATATCTGAGCAACTAACCTTTGCAAATGTTAAAAAATTTGAAGGGCCTTTTTTTTGAAATTGAGATGCCTTCTTCTTTCTCAAATATCATCTATCATTAATACAAATGATTGAGGCTGCCAATATACAAATATAAACATAAATAGTTCTATATTAATTTTAATTTCTTTTTGCTTTTTGTTCTCATTTGCTTTGATTTACCATTCTCTCTTTGTGTTACTTATGTAAATACTTTGGCTAAAGTGGTGGGAGGTTGTAATATATCGTACTTTTATGTATTATAAATATTGTTCTTGACTTTCAGTTCTATGCCCTATATGCAGTATATCTGTGTCTATGTCCATATATGACTTGATTTGCATGTGCTTTATATGAAGTCCACAGAAAAATATAGACATTTACGTGTTAATTGTTGTATTTTTTAAAATGATCAGTAATGGAAATAATGCTCTCCTTTTCTTTTTCTTCATAAGCTGGTATTCATGGTTAATCAATAGTTTTGTCAATGGTAAGTATAAGTTTTTATTCTTTTCTTGGAATGTGATTCTTTAAAAGTATTTTCAAAAGGCATTGCTAAGGCACAATATTTTTGGAAGTGGGTAGCTGTATGAACAGCAGTACTTGCTATCGTACATTGCTTCATAGAATATTTAGAGGGGGGAGCACAGGTATAATCCAGTTTGATTTAGATCAATTCCAGTATTGGGTCCTGGGATGATCTAGTGCAGTGTTTCTCAACCTTGGCGACTTTAAGTCCTATGGACTTCAACTCCCAGAATCCCCATAGCTGGCTGAGGGATTCTAGGAGTTGAAGTCCACAGGACTTAAAGTCGCCAAGGTTGAGAAACACTGGTCTAGTGGAATAGCAACTGAGATAGCCAGATCTGAAAAAAGGAAGTATCCAAACATGGTATGCTTCCTAAAACACAAGTCGTTTCATTTATTTGCAATAACCGTCTACAAGTTAATACATTAGGCTGGTGGTATGATCAAATTACAAGAGATAAAGGAAAGCTTAAATCCTGCTCCTGTAATTTCAGTTTTAAATTTGCAACCGGTAGAACAAAGCAAACCATTTTTTTTCTATTTCTTAGCCATACTTTTATGCTAGTTTATGGTAAAATAAAATTATTTCAAATCAAGCTGAATTTCTGATGTATACATGATGATGTATGCTGCGTACATGGCATGGATGTTTCTATAAATCAATCAATCAATCTCTTTCACGCGCACACGACACACAGAAAGAATTTGACATTTATTTTTTCTGGGAATTTTCTGTTTCATTGATTTCCCATTCCAGCCTAAAGCCTTAGTTCTTCAAATATTAAGGTAATGCACCTGTAATTAAAAATTTTGTAGGGTTCTCCTGCATTTCTACAAAAGAATATGAAACAAACATTTCAAATTTCTAGAATGAGCCAAGTATAAGGGAGGGTGAGAGCCTAAATTGAAATAAAAACTCAATATTAAATTGCAATATATTTAGTGTATTCTGATGTTTAAAAGCAAGAATAAATAATAATGGATATCTGTTTTTGTTCTATCATACCAAAAATGTGATATATTTTTTTTCCTCCAACAGGAGTATATGCTTTTGGATTTCTATTTATGTTGCCACAACTTTTTGTAAATTATAAGGTAATTAACAATTGAACCCAATATTGTATCATGTTATTTAACCCAGCCTTCAGCTTTTTAAATATATATATTTATGACCTTTCTTTCTTTCTTTCCAGATGAAATCTGTTGCACATTTGCCATGGAAAGCGTTCACTTACAAAGTAAGTTAATTTATGCTGCTGAGCCATTAATTATTACTTGAAAATCAAGTTGCAATTGGGATTTTATTTGCCCGTCTGGTATTACCCCCAAAAATATCCAACGACGTTATTAGGCAATAACTCTGATAGTGTAGTTTGTATAGAGAACCATAAAGTCTTATATTCGTCTTAAAGCCTGTAACCTGATTTGAAACAAATATTTCGGAGACTTTTATTATTCAGGTTCCCTAAGAACTACTTTTAGATTTAAGACTCATAGGAAGATCAGCTGAGAATGTAATGGAAAGCTGCACTTGGAGGAACCTTTGGCCTTATGCCCAAGAATCTCAAGCTGGTGTTTACATGACTTGTAAGAACAGTGCATTGACCATGGAGCCGAGGTGGCGCAGTGGTTAAATGCAGCACTGCAGGCTACTTCAGCTGATTGCAGTTCGGCTGTTCAAATCTTACCGGCTCAGGGTTGACTCAGCCTTCCNTCTCTCTCCTCTCTGTCTCACTCTCTCGTCTCTCATCTCTCCCCCCCCCCTCTCTCTCTCGTGTGTGTGTGTGTCTTGAACCATTTCCAAAAATGGGAGGGTTGGTTGAGGTTTTTTTGCTGATGTTCTTTCTTCTTCTTTGGGTGCTTTTTACCATGATTTAAATCAAGAATCACTTCAGGTTCCCAGATAAATGAAGTTCTTTCATCCCTCTGCTGTAGCTCCCTGTCAGCTGAACCCACCACTGGCTGCCCCTTTCCCTTCCCTCCCAGTCTGACCTGAGAAGGTAAGGGCAATGATGGGTGATGGAAATTCCCTCCATATTCTAGAGCAGAAGCGAACAGCCCCTGTATTTGCCTCATCTTACGGGTGCTTCTTCTGACCCTTGTTGGTGCTGCATGCACCTCGGTCGCTCAGCGAGGCGCGTGACTTTCTCTCTGCCCTGAAACACTGGCCCGGCCAGGCTGCGGACAATGCTCCATGTCGTAATGGGCTCCAGGATGAGACACCATCTCCCCCATTGTGAAGTGCACTAAATTTAATTGTGCTGTGTAAACCACTGTGAGAGCAGCGGGCAGGCCATAGGGACGGCGAGAGCAGCACTGTTGGCTACAACTGGGCCAGGCCAATGTTTCAGGGCAGAGAGCAAGTCGCAGGTCTCTCAGAGCGACCAAGGTGCATGCAGCACCAACAAAGGCTGAAAGAAGTGCCCGCGAGATGAGGCAAATACAGGGGTGCTTTGCTCCTGCTCTGGAATATGGAGCTAGTCTCCATCCCCTGCCATCACCCTTACCTTCTCAGGCTAGGCAAGGAGTGACGGGGAGGGGAGGGGCGGGGCCAGCCAATGATGGGTTCAGCCGACAGGGAGCCACAGCAGGAGGTCGAGTCACATGTAGCTCTGGAGCTACAGGTTGCCGACATCCGCATTACGTCATTAGCATTCTTGAAACCTTTTCTTCCAGAAATCTCATACTTTGTCGCATGTGCTCGCGACACCCCCTCCCTGTCACCAGGCCCCCTGTGCACCCTGCCCCATCCAGAAGAAGTCACCTTGGCTCTGCCACACTCACACCACAGCCGCCATTTGTTGAACTGTTGGCCTGTTTGCAAGTTATCTAGGATTTCCCAATGACTTTGTTGAAAACTGACAGTAAGTTGTGAGGGCCTGAATGACAGCAAAAGGGACTGTCAGAATTGCCATCACCAAGCGATGCAGTCATGTGATGTTGCCTTTTATGACTGCATTACTTTAGCGCTGGAAATTCCAGTCCTAATTACTGTTGTTAAGGAAGAAGTACCTGTTTACAAAATGTAACAGTGCTGAAGATTGGATATTTTGCTTCTGGGAGCCCAAAATTAGAAAAATAATTTTCTGAGTCAGGAATTAAGTCAGATACTTCAGGAAGCTGGAGGTGAACACTACTCTTTCTATGACTGGATTCACACAATTTGCTAAGCCAAAACATGTGCTTGTTTGTAAGCTGGAATAAACTTAGGCACATATACACTGAACTGCAAGTAAAAAACTGTAGCTCTTAATTTGTATGAAAATGGCCAGTGTAAAGAGAAGTAAGAACTACTTACATTTATTCTTTAAATACAAAATTCAAATCTTCAAATTCAAGAAAAAAAAGTGCTTATCGAACCAGGGAACCCAGTGGGATATTCCTCCATTCTTCTCCCAATGCATCCCATTAAATCTCCAATTATAAAAGTAGTTTTCCAGAGTCCCTTCTCCTGATCAGTTATTTCCTGAAATCCTGCTGATGTGATTCTCCATTACTTCACCTCTGGTATACAAGCCACCACTACCCTAGCTGTATCTCCTATTTATCAACTTAAAAAAAACCAGATGTTGCTTATAAATGTTAAAATTATGTAAAGAAAATCTCCCTGACATATTTTAAGGAGTCATCATCTTCCTCCAGTTTGGTCTCCTCACTGCTACTTGAAGAAGCTGACTGATCTGGAGGTGTGGATGGTACAGGAGGATCCTTGGCAATGTTGACAGCAGTCCTTGGAAGGTGACCATCTATCGATTCCTGTTGACGGTCTTGAACCTTATCTTCTGATGAAATCACATCACCTTCTATAGCCTTGCAATTCTAAAAAGGAAGGAAGCAATCATAATTTTCTTTCATTTTAGGATCAAGACCAAGTTTCTCTCTCTGCCATCTAAATCAGGATAAGTGAGGCTCAATGCCTAGTAGAATATCTACAATCATGCCTGGTTGATAAACATATAAATAATTCTCTGTGGTCAAAAGAAATGTGCCCAAGTGTCCTTGAACTTATAGGTGAGTTTGATCACCTAGTACAATTGGCTGTACTTAGGCCCAATTCTTTTTTACAATTCTCAGAGAAGAAGATATTCTGGCAAAAATTAAACTGAAGAGCTGCAGCCTCCATAACTGCAGGTAATCAATCATATGGAAAAAGGAAGAAGTTGCCACCTGGGCAACATCTTTACATTGCTCACCTCAGCTAAAATACAAAGAGCCATGTCGACCAACTCAGCTTCATTCATACAATACACAGTTTCAGTCCTATAAAAGAAAATCATATTGTAAAGTAATGTACAGTAAGAAGGAAGATCAACCCTCCCTTCAGTAAATATCAATTTATAGACAATCAGCAGATATCAGAAAATGCACATTAAGTCTTGTCAAATTCTCTGTAGCCTTATTCAGTATATCTATCTATTTCAGTATAACTATATATTTTTAGCCCTGGTGTCAGGAAAAATAGCAAAGACGAATTCATACATCAATCATTTTTTTTAAAAAAATTACGGTCAAAGACCAGCATATAGTATTACAAAATTTGGTGGCATTCAAAGAAACTATTTCATACAATTGATAACAGCAGTTGTAGATAAGAGATCAGTACTTCTCAGGTATTTTATTAGGTGAGGTGCAGTGATGGGTTTCAAATTTTTTTAGAACTTCTGTAGGTGTGGCCTGCTTTGTGGGAGTGGCTTGCCGGCCATGTAACCGGGTGGGAATGGCTTGCCAACCATGTGACCGAGTGGGAGTGGCTTGCCAGCCATGTGACCGGGTGCGAGTGGCTTGCCAGCCATGTGATTGGATGGGCGTGACCAACTTGTAAAATATGGTGAAACTCACTTAACAACTCTTGCTTAGCAACCAAAATGTTGGCTCAGAAACTCTGACATTTGAAGCACCCAAGTCTTAAAGCTGTCAAGTTACAAGACCCTTGTACCCCTAACCCTTTAGGGAAAAAAAACCCAGGGGTGTTCAAACTTGACAGCTTTAAGACNTTCCCCTTCCTTCTTCCCTTACCTCTCCCCTACTCCTACCCTCTCTCTACATTTCTATTCAGGAAGTTATTCCTTAAATATAATAATTTAGTCTGTTGGGTTTGGGCATCCTTACTTAACCAGCAAACGATCCTAAAAGCAGAACCATCAGCGTTTCCAATTAAGTCGGTGGATGGATTTTGAAACGCAGTGGCCTAAGTGTGCTTCTGCAAATCTACACCCTAACAGAGGAGGAATGCTCACAGCACAGGGTAAGAAAGTTATTTTTAATATCAGGAAACTGTGGCAGATAGGTGTTTTTGTTTCACCTATTCTCTGAGATGTTATTCCATCTCTTCAAATAAATTATACCCAGAATGATAAATTGGATCAACTTTAGGCCAGACAAAATATTACATCAAATACATCACGCATAGGACATTTGAATGACGTATCCGTTACCTTCCCCAGGCACAAGAAAGAATCAGTCGGTTTCTTAAAATACTCTGTCTGGATTTTGAAAGGCCACACGAGTTCATTTGGCTTTTATTCATAATGGGGATGAGTGCATAGAAAAGAGTTGATGTTAAAAAAAAGAAGTTAAGGAGAAAAGGAAAAAAAAAGAATAAGCTGTTTTAAACAAAAGCTGAACTGTATCAATAGGAAGAGGCCAAGGGTGAAGTCATTGTCCCCATTCTCAAAATAGACTTTTTAAATGAAGTGAAATGTTGCACAACCTCACTACTAATCAAGGTTTTCCTGCCAAAACCTACACTCGTTTTTTCCCCTCTCAGGATTGCCTTTCTTGGGGAAAATTCACCCTTCCCTGAATCCCTCTGTTAAATAACAGCAGTAACTACTGTGGATGGGAATGGAGAACTCTGGGTTATGACAGAGATGAAATACGACTGGAAGAGGAATTAGGACCTGTTTAGGATAATTGGGAATCCAGAATGGGGCAGAGAAAAGTTGGTTCTGGAAGGACACCAGGAGTTCACCCACTCTTTCATTCAGCTTGAGCATTTCCCCCCCGCTGCTGATTCAAAGGGTGTTCACAATCCTTAGTTTGTCTGAAAATCGTATTTGTTTTACTAACCCTTTTCCAGAGGTGGGTTCCTACCAGTTCGCACCTATTATTAATTTAAAGGGACGTGGTGGCTCAGTGGCTAAGATGCTGAGCTTGTTAATCGAAAGGTTGGCAGTTTGAATCCCTAGTGCCGCATAATGGGGTGAGCTCCCGTTACTTGTCCCAGCTTCTGCCAACCTAGCAGTTCAAAAGCACGTAAAAAATGCAAGTAGAAAAATAGGCATCACCTTTGGTGGGAATGTAACAGTGTTTGGTGTGCCTTTGGCATTTAGTTCATGCCAGCCACATGACAAAGGCGATGTGTTCGGACAGCGCTGGCTCTTCGGCTTTGAAACACAGATGAGTACCGCCCCCTAGAGTCGGGAATGACTAGCACATATGTGCGAGGGGAACCTTTACTTTTACCTTTAAGGTTAATTTGCTTTATATTTGCATTCTGTTATTACAATTATTCCTCCTAGATTTCTTTCATCACATCTCCCCCATCCACTATCTGCAATCCTAATGATATATATGTTTTTAGAGGAAGTTTCTGGACTTTCACTGGGAATGATGTTTATTCTTAACATAATTTCCAGGGAAGTTAAGACAAATATAGTTCTTCGCATGTTTCTATTCTTTCCTATTGTGACTATTGTGAGCATATATTAGCATTATAAATAACAACGTAAATATTGTAACTGCAGAATATCTCATTTGATGTCTTCTGCTGTAGTTTCTTTACTTTGGCTAAGAATACATCAGTTCAAAATGCTGCTATTTTGCTCAGAACAGCCTTCTCTGAATTGGTGCTCTCTTGAAGTTAGGTGTGAACCACAATTCTTCCTGTCTTTGCCAAGTAGAATGAAGTTATAGGCCATCACATCAGGCTGGGGGAGGCTGTCATAAAGAACAGACATCTGTAACTCAGAAGCTCTTAAGGTAATAGTTGGAAGACATCTTTACCCACAATTGCTTGGCTTCTGCAGAATTGGCCTCAAAATGTCCTGCCAGCTGTTTGAGTATACTGAAATTGTGCTTTCTGAAAGTTTAATAATAGTCAAGTTACATTTTTTTTAATGCTTGTTTTTCTTGTCTTTGTGCGCCTGTGAAAGACGCATGCCTATATTCCAATGTGCTAAGCAGATCCCAAGCTAGCTTCTTAGCCTCAACTCAGTGACAGCAAATCAAAGAAAATCATAACCACCAATGTAAGGATAGGGAGAACCTTAGGGAGAATCAACAGGAAGCTTTCAATACGAAGTGCAATAAGAACATTTTGTACATCTAACTGTCTGAGAATCCAAGGAAGCTCTTTAAAAATAACATTGAATAAAGTCATTCTTGGTCCATTGATCACTTGTAGGACCTAAGACATTCTTACAGTATTCTTGAGATGCTTTTTAAAAGTTTAGGATCAGTGATGGGATTCAAATAATTTAACAACTGGTTCTCTGCCCTAATGACCAGCTGAGTAGGCGGGGCTCGATGGTCATGTGACTGGGTGGGTGTGGCCAACTCAATATCACTCACCTCCATGGGCGCTTCGCCTTAGCTGTTACAATATAATAAGGGTTAACCAGAGAGGCAGTTTCTGTAAGCAGGTCAATAAAGATTAGGCTAGAAACAACACCAGAATGTTTCCTTCCTGCCTTCCTTACAGGATTAGCCCTGTAAAGTGGAAAAAAACAAAAGGAGATTTCTTCCAACAACCGGTTCTCCGAACTGCTTAGAAAGTTACCAACCGGTTCGCCCTGGCTGAATCCCACCACTATTTAGGATCCATGTAACCATGCATGAACATGTTATAGCAACTTTTCCCCCCCTGCTGCATCTTCACGATGTTGCCTTCAATGTGTTTCCAGTAAAACATCACTTTTGAGGGAAATTAGATGATTGCTTCCCCCCACCCTTTTTCGTCGAAATTAGGTCAGAGAACAAAGCCAGCATTTCCACAAATACCTCAGTGTACTTCCTGTGTCTGAAAGTGCAGACTAGCAACTTCATCTAGATAACTTTTTCATTTTGGGTGCTGGGACACCGCTTGCCTCTGTGAATAGTTTGCGATGCCATTTGGGGACAAAATCACTTATATTTAAGTGATCTGTGCTGGATGACAGGTGGGTAGAATCTCAAGATTATCTGGTACTTTTGAGCAAGTCCAGGGACTCCTTTGTGAGCTGAATTCAGCTATCTGTAAAACAGTGACGTGCGGTGAGGTTTATGGCTGGTGAGGCAGCAATTTTTTTAGACTTGTGGACTTCAACTCCCAGAATTCGACAGCCAGGCATGCTCAGTTCCGATTTAAAGCAACAGCATTTGTTTTTCTCCTTTGCTAAATAAGTTTCCTTCTTTCTTTTTCTTTTTCTTCTCCCTTCCCCTCCTTCCTCCCTCTCTCCCCCTCTCTCAAACAAACACACACACACACACACAAAGTTGCACCAGGAGGATGAAGTTTGAATTCCTCTCCCTCCCTCTGACCCACATGTATCTTTTCCAGCTGTTTCAGAGAGGATTTCAACTCTGCTCTTGCCTGTCATCATGAAAAGAAAAAAAAAAGTAAAAGGAAAAAGGCAAGAGCTGAGGTCAGGCTGGGCTAGTTGCTGCCAGAGTCACCGTGGATGGCTCTGCTTAACTGTTTTAAAAAGCCTCTAAAAAAGCACCTTCTATAGGAGGAGGCAGGAGAACGACGTGCCTCATCTACGTCAGGATTTTTTTGGCTTTTATTAAATTGTGAAGTGGTGCAGTCATTAAGTGAGACATCACATGAGTGCACCCAATTTTACACCCTTTTTGCTAAGGTTGTTAAGCAAATCATTATAGTTGTTGAGACATCATATGATTGCAACTTGTGACCTTCCCAGCTGCCTTCCCCATTGATTTTTGCTTGTGTACCAAGTTACTTTGTGCTGAAGTGGATAATGTACACATTATGAGCAAAAAAACCTTTCTCATCTAATCTAATCCAGTTCTTAAAATTGCCATGTTATAGTTGCTAGAAAGGTCATGATAACAGTACATTTTTTTTCAAGACACCATAAAAACCACAATTTCTGGCCAGAGTTTTTCAGGTTTTTTTCTGCCCTTCATATATAAAGTGGGATAAAAATGTAACGACAACAATTTTTTTTTTATTTCTTGTTGAACTTCCAAAATGCCACTTGTGTCTGCTAAATCTTACCCTGAACTAGATTTTTAGTTTAAAGAGCATCATGAATGAACACTAGTCTGAATTAATCAGCTACAATCCATAATACAAGTAGTTTACTATTCATTGTTCACTCATTGCTAGGCATTTGCACAACACGTGAAACTGACGTTAAACAATCCTTTCTGTGAAATATCATGCCATGAAAACTTACTTCCCAAAAACAAGAATGATGTTACACACAGCTAATTCAATCATGTTTCCTACTCCCTTTGATAAAAATTACTCATCTTTATTAATCTATATTACAATGTGACTTTCTTAAATCACATCAACTACAAAAGAAATTTATTGAAACGCAAACAGACATCTGAGAAGTGGATCTTAACTAGTTTACTAAAATGTAAATCCCATTAAATTAAACAAGGCTTGCTTTTAAGTGAATGATTAAAGAAAGACTCGCAAGTGGTTAAAACAATGAAAAAAATATAATAAAAAGGGAATAGCATATACTCTATTTGCCTCCGGGCAACTTGAAGTCCACGCATTTCAGGAATGTGTAAATATATCAGTATATTTATCTGAATGAGGATGGGATTCAATTATATGTTAGGTTTAAGAGAATAAAACAAAGGAATGATTTAGATTTTTGGACTAAGAAAAGCAAACCCTATTAAATGCTGGTTGTGATTTGCGTTCTGTTTCATTGTGGTTATCCCTACATTAAAACACCATTTAGATGCTGGCAGCCATACATCAAGTTTAAACTTTATGGTTTAAACTAACCTTTCCCAACACGGTGCCCTTTTGATCTGTGAGATTATTTTTATAATTCTTTCCAGTCAATAGAGTAAGATGAGAGTTCCCTGTGCTGGAAGACATTCCTGCAAATTTATTTGACCTCCAAAGAGACTCGAAAATAGTTTTGCAAGATGTATGACGTAGAATACCAACTTGGAATGTTGGAGAATAGAACACCACAATAGGGACATCGAATCACTATGCTATTTAGCTAAATATGATGTTATGATCATGCAGATACAGAGGGAGATTAACTAGTTTAATTGCAATATCTCAATCTCATTACAATAATCCATGATTTTGGGGTAGTAGATGTCCCAGTGGATGGACCCTTGGAATGTCTGAATCCATTAAATTTTATGTTACGTGTCCAGTGGTGGGAATTCAGCCAGTTCGCACCTATTTGGGAGAACCAGTTGTTAACTTTCTAAGCAGTTCGGAGAACCGGTTGTTGGAAGAAATTTCATTTTG